GTCAGAAGACACTGCAGATCCAGCTCTCCTTTCCACACCAGACACTTAGACAAGATGCAGCAACTTTGCATCCAGGAAACACACACTCTGCGTTTATCCATGTGTGGTGATGCTGCTGTGTCCCCTTTCTGAAAGGGCTGGTAAATTCTTGCTCAGTTTCATTTCTCAAAACTCAGAGACTAGGGCACTTGCACTTGTGGCAGATTTATGCAACTAGTTTTCATTACAGTGGAAGTTCAATTTGCTAAATACAATTATAAGTCTGGGCCTGAACGTCGCCTTCTAATCAATTTTAAATAACACTTGAGATCGGCGACTTGACATGACCTGAACACTGTGACTTGGGGCTCAGTCACAACAACCTGGGACTCAACTGAGATCTTCATTAAAGAAACTCATTTGTGACTCAACTCCATGCCAGGAACTCTATTCTTCACCTAACAAAATACTTATTAACCTTTCCGCCTTTGTTACTGCACCAGTGCACCGTCAGAAGCCTCCCTTGCTAACTCCTGGAGAACTAGCATAAAGCGTACTATTTGGGGGGAAAAATTTGACTTAATTATGCTCAGCTATAAAATACAAAAAAATCAACTGGACCTGAATATTGTAATATTCATATGGGAAGGAAGCGTGGTGTTATAAAATACAAGCGAGTTGTGACTATGCTCTAATTATGTCTACGAGCAGCAAACAGTGCCATGCAGTGTAATTTGGTGAAAGTTGTATTATTCTGATGAAACATTCATTCTCAAATTTCTGGCTGAAATATTTTACCTTAAAAATTAAATTCTGGAGGCACAGTGGCTTAGAGATGAACAGTGTCACTTCACCTACAGCACTGGGTGTTCGAACCCTGTGTATAGAGTCTGTATCTTCTCCCAGTGTTTGCATAGGTTCTCTCCCAGTACTCAGATTTCCTCCCACTGGTTGCAGTTAAGCAAATTGGTGACTCAATTGCCTGTATTGAGCAACTGTGTGTGTTTAAGTGCATTCCAGGCAACAGAGAGTCCATCCAGAGCGTCCAGGTGCCCCGGACCCTTCCTAGGATGTGCTTGTGGCTTACTGGGATCCAGTACTGGATGTTTCTCCAATTATACACTACCGAACAATTAATACATATTATTGCAACAGTTATTTTTTCTGCCTCAAAGAAAACTAGTACTTCATTTCTTAATTTCATTCCAAAGAAAGGCCTCCGATATAATGCAGGTGAAATAAATTTAGAGGATTAGAAATAGGAATATATTCCGTACTACACAAAACATAAGTCTCAGAATTAAGTCAAAGCAAATCGGGCCAGAGCACTTGAACTGTATCTCTGAATAGTGGAGCTTAGTAAACAACTTCGCAGCTCGAAAATAAACCTTTGAACCCAGCGGGAAAATGTTCCACGCTTAGAAAAAGTGAGCAAGATTAATCATTAACACTTTAATGAATGATTATTGGAGAAACATACTACGAAATGTCCTACTGACAATTCTACTTTAGCGAGACGCTCTTTCACCGAAAACAAATGGCTTACTTTTCAAAAGTAAATGAATTAGAATAAAAACACAGAAACCTTTCTATACCCAACCCAGGCAGTAGTGGGTTGCCCTGTAAGAAGCAGGACTGGTTTAAAAAGTGATCATCTGGCCATAACAATACAATAATACTTTACTGTTGGGGCAATGAATATGACACCCAAAGAATTCAGTACATAAGACTATAAATGAAGCAACAGTCACGAGGAAGGGGACAACCAGCACAGTTTGCCAGTTGCACACAGTCACACTGCAGAATATCCACCTGAACAGCATTTTGGGCTGCAGAAGGAAACCAGTGGAAATACATTTAAATGTGGGAAAAACATTTAAGATCCATAAAACAAATTAATCAAATCTTCTGTTAAATTACACCTTCATATGCAGGATACAAAACATTACAGATGCACAATATATTGGTTAAGAGCTGGTACTGGCTGGGGGGGAAAAAAAAATCAAGATAATCAGTACCGGTCTGATGTGAGATTCTTGGGCAATATTACTTGCCAAATGGGTATATTTGGGGTATGGATGGTAAGGCTATGTACCTACCAATACTGTGAGTCTACCATGCCTGTTTAGGAGGGCAGGAAGGGTTGGGGGCTTTGGTCTTTACCAAGGTTGAAACCAAACCCATACCCTTGTTGCTGGCATATTAAAAATGTTGTCAATATTCAAAGTTAGTGCATGAGCTAAAGACATTATTACTAAAATCGAAATGACTGCATTGGACATCAGTCATTTTCCATAGTGGGGGATGAAGGATTTCATTGGCTCATTGACCACTGAAGTTGCCACTTTCAATCTGACGTATGGGACCCCACACCCCCTGACGGTTCAAGACCATAAAATCTGGCAAGGTGGGGAAATCTGACAATAAACCTTGATGAACAAGGGAGTCAATCACACAGTCCAAAAACAGCAAATATCTCATCCAATACTGGTTCAAAACAGGACACAGCATTTCATTTTACAATATCCGACAAAATAAGGGATGGCTGGCAAGGAACAACTTTTGAGATGGTTTTTGTACAGGGCTGTGACATGTTTTTAATTCAATATTAAATCTGGCCTGCAGATCACCATTTAGTTTTCAACAGAATAAAAACAATGATATAATGTCATTCAGCCAATCTGGCAAGCCCAAGTGGCTCAGAGGTTAGCGATATCAGTGATATTAGACAAAAAATATATAGGCTATCGCTATCTGTCAAAATTTCCATATCGCTGCACCATTACAAGATATTCATATCCTCTTTACTCAAAGATCATGCACAGTTTCAGAAGGTAACCATGTTTCACAACCAAACCAAATCATTAGTGTAACGTTCTATGAATATAATAAACTTACAAGCAACTAAAAGCAGAACTAATATTTGTTAGCTGTTACACAAATGATATTACATTCTCTGCCAGCAAGTGGCCTATTACAAAAATCACATAAATTAATACATATTAGGTGGTTGTGACATTAAATGTGTGCATATAACGCCTGAGGAATAACTTGGTAAAACATGGTGATTTTAGAGTCTAACTGTAAATCCAAGTGCATAACATTAGTTTGTCCTAAATATTAAGTACAAAAAAATCTGGCTCGCATACATTCAGTAACCTAAATACTTTATTTTGCTCTTTAATTTTCTACAGCCCTGTTTGTCTTTAGAAGTATACTCAAAGCCCATGCCACGAGCAGCTCTGTCTGCCTGCCTTGTGTATATCAGTGAGATAGGGTCTGTTTATGATGCGAGTGATAACGGTATAGCTTTTCAAACAAGAAAATTTGAATTACGACAACAGTCTATAACTACGAACATTTAGCTGACGTTGCTCTGACTTCTTTGGTTAGTGCACTACGTCATTGCAAAGGCAGAAATATCTGACAAAGCAAAGGGTGATTTACTGAAATTCCTGCCACAAGGCCTTCTAACAGGGTTCACTCAGCGTAACTGACACACATTATAAATTTTCTAAAATTTTGTTTTTCCTTAAACAGATACCTTACAAAAAAGGAATTAAAAAACAAACCTTCTCACTTCTCTTTCAGTGGTAAAAACCTAATTAGGAAACAGTCCACTATACTGCCACTAATATGAAACGTGTGATGCATTATGGGATTATGGGCTGGACAATATGATGATACATAAGCAAAATCTCAAGTTGCAACAGCACAGTACTTCATCTCATATAGTCGCCAAAAATAAGGATTTACTGGAATCCTTAGTACCGCGTTGTGTAGGATCAACACTGCCCATGCTAATTACTGAAAGGAAAGAGCAACCTATATTTCCTGCCATGTTTTAAAAGCAAGACACTCCCCTCTCTGAGGTTACGTGCATGAGCAGATCAGAGCAAAACTACATTAGCTATCCAGACACACAAAACGTTAGGTTTGGTCATCTGCACTTTAATAGTGGTCAAACGCATTTCACAGTCAAATCAAAGGGCTAGTCAAATATTCCCCAGAAATCTATTTTTAAATGCCAGATTTGTAGTCAAATTTACATCTGATAGCCATATCAGGAAGAAATTAATTCCAACCACTAAGATGTAGTATACGCTGAACCAGGTATACAAATGCGGTTTCCGCCTCATATAGATATTATGTAATTTGTCTCGTAGATAATTAAATCCACGCTCATCAGGTAGCGGGCCAGTTTAATGCATGTGTGTGACTGTGAGGCGCATCATGCGGAGTTAACGTGATTTATGTGCGTATGCATTGAAACAGACGATCCCTGCCTGCTTAAACAGAACAGCGATGGAATTAATCAAAGTGTTGCTACTACCATTGCTGAATAATGTAATACTTCATGGAGTGCACGGGAACAGACAGACAATATGAAATAGCTGCGCGCGGCGTATTAGATATCCAACTACAGGGCCATTAACCTGCCGCTCGAAAACTTATGCAACCATATTTTAACTGCGCTGGATATGGGGGAGCAATACATAACGATCGTGTGCATCATTTTAACAAGTGTCACCGGGAAGACTCGCATCCCACATCCTTCAGACTGCCACAGTAGTTACACCTGTGTCGCCCAGTCTTGTTCATGTCAGAAATCCCCCCGGCGCAACATGTCGCTCCGCATCCAATATACTGGGGCAGGCCAGGTATTTATAACCAGGTATAAATTAACTATTTGCTAGCAGCTCGCCTGCCTTCATATATTATGCCAGATGCCAAGTTCTAGCTAAACGTCTTCAGCTGCTCCAAACAGATGACGTTTTTTTTCTTTCCATAATGCAAACAAGATTTTAACGCAATACACCTACATGCTTTGCGCCTCCTTTTAAACATGCACGTTGGATCGGAGCTTGCCGTGTAGCCTGTGATAATTAAAGCTACATCGGTCCGTCGCGAAAATTAGCCGGCAGGCTAGTCAACGTTAGCAGGCTAACGTCGCCTTTCGGGGGACTCATGAAGCGCACCGAGGCTAACGCTAGACGTGCGGGCGGGGACGGTCACCGTACCCAGCAGAAGCAGCTTCAGCTCCCTCCTGGAGTCCCGCTTGTCTCGGCGGAGCTGCTTATCGATCTCGGCGTTGATCCGCTTCGACTCCTTCGCCTCTTCGCTCAGGCAGCAAGCCATCATGGACTCTAAAGTCATCCCCCCGCCCGTTTTTAGGGAGCCCGTTTATATCGGGGCGTACTGCACACCGCTTACTTTTTTTTAATGTCCCCGGTCCCCGCTGCAAACCGGGGGTGGGAGATAAAGGGGGCTGGAGGGGGGCCGAGCGGCAGACGAGAATGGAGGGGAGCGGGTCGCCTCCTGGTAACCAAGACCGCTCCGGCTTCAGCCCCGTACTGAGTGCAGCCGCCCGGCGGAGACCAGGGGAGGGGATACAAAAAAAAAAAAAAAAAAAAATCTGATGATTTTCGAGTGAATGAGGCTGCGGGCCTAAGGCGCCTGGATCTGTTACCCGGCTGTAATGTTCGGCCAGCAGACGCCACTTTCCCAGCGCTTCCCCGAAACCTTTACAGGCACATTTTCCCTCCGTCGCCTTCTGCTCCTGGCGCTCCGGTGCCGTGTGGGTTTATTATTATTATTTTCCCCTCACAAGCCCGAGTCCTGGAGGCTGCGGGAGACGGTGGTCCGCTGCCACATCCGCGCCGTTTCCCCGGCTTTTAAAAACGAGCCGCCCCAGAACCGAGCCCGAAATGCGCGAGGAAAGCGCCCGTCGCGCTGCCCATTAGCTGCGCGCGCTTAGCGGCGAACTACACAAAAGCGCCGTCGACATTGTACAAAATGTTACGCTATATTGCAGGAAAACCTGCCTTTTCCCTTTCGGTATTAAGATATAAGCTCGTTATCTAACTCTCTAGGTACCTAATTACGGAGACGGTGGGATCCACTCGCCGTAAATGTAGCCCTACGAGACTCCGGGAGTTAATGCCGCTACTGATGCTAGCTAGCCGGAGAAAAGCGACCTTTATCGGCTCGGAGAATGTTCAGCCTTTTAACGTTTCGCAGGTGATGGATCCCGTCCTCGTCTCAGCCCCGTGGTGAGGTGACCACAGGCAGACACAATGACTGGCAAGCGGAGGGCAAATGGAGGCTGGGGCCGCGGCGCGGAGACTGGGACGGAGCGGGGGCGGGATGCGCGCTCCCTCCGAGGGCGGATTTTACCAGAGCGTCAAGTTTGGTCGCAGAACTCCAGCTCTCAGATCCCAACCATCGTCTTTTCCGGGCGTGTCAGTCGTGTAGCTAAATTCCCACTAAATGTCTGCTAATTAACATGTCGGCTGATAGTATCAAACCGACATCACATGGTTCGGGTCGTCGAAGAAAACGCAATGAAGCAAAATGGACCACTGACTTGTTGTTGAGTCAGGGACCACAAAAAAGCAATAAATAAATATGTTTGCTGGGATTTTTACATATTCGTTTCTGCCAGAGAGTGCCTGTGAGGTTGATTAAAGTGCGATGAAAACCTGGAGTTACGGTGAAATGAAATAGCCATGAAATGGACTTGTTATTCAAAGTTATTGTTCATGTTTTCATTTATACCAGTGTCCTGTGCTAATTGAGATGATCTATTGCAATTACTGTATCCATGCTACAGACGCTTAATGTGCAGGGCAGAAAACAATTAGTTAACTAGTTGCCATTAATCTGGAAAAACCAGAATCCTGGCATATTAGTTTCCGAGGAGGGTCCTGTTTTTGTGCTCTTAATAATTAAGGTACTTAATATACATTGTTTTAGTCAAAATACCAACTGTACAAACTGTAGGTCATTAAGTGCAGGTTATGGTAGTAGAATACCAATGAAATGACACCTTCCATAATAGCAGCAATAACATAAGACCTACAAACCGGTCCTGTCGCTTCAGTTTTATATGTTGTGCGTTGACACTTCTTTGGAATGCGGTGGGCTGAGTTGCGTGACAAATTTCATAGCATTAAAAGGTGTGGTGATGATGTATCATTCTGGTCCCTGCTGGCTGGAAGTCATCAGTATCCTCAAAGATGGTTAGCGGCGCGGCTGTCCTGCATCACCCCTGCTGATAAATGGGTTTGATATTGCCTTGGTGTCAAGGCCAAATTTTATCACTATTGTTGGAACCTATTTACATTGGCACTAAAACAGTTCTTCTTATGAGTAAAACGGTGGAAAATGTTGTTCAAAGTCATTTTTCCTTTGCATATGCAAGCAAAAAGCAGAGTCCACATTGTTGGTAGTCCTTTTACATATTTACATGGTTTGTATGCCCTGTTCAGCTCTTTTAAGTTGCTATTTTAAACCCATCATGAGTAATTAAGTACCAAGAAAAACAACTCAAATCTGCGGGTCAGAGTTGAGTGTCTAGCAGTCCTTATTAAGACTATCGCTGAATCCCTACTTCAGTGACCATGTACAGGCCTGAAATGAATAGCTGAAACAGACAGACGGTGAAGCGAACTCTGAATGGTCAAAGTCTTTTCCAAACCTTGGGTTTCTGAATCGTGATGTGACAGGCAACAGGGCCATGAGACGAGTGGTAGCTCAAGCTTGGCTGAAAACATCAGCCAGGTGCTGCAAAGGAAAAATATGAATTTAAATTCCCAGGTTTTCCTCATTGTAGAATAAAAAGGGGGGGGGGTATAATTTTGTTATTGGTGCTTAGGTAGAAAGGAGCACCATGAGGAACCATGACTGCTTCTGCTGCTTCATTCTGTGCATCGTTGATTGACTTTCTTAATCTTTTTTTGTTTTGTTTTCAAATGATCCATCATTGACTACATTCTTGTTAAACAGAATTTGTTGTAAGTGTGAATATGGCATCCTCACAATACCACAAGCTATTAACTCACGGCATACGTTTCATTGTTTGGTCCTGCAGATCACGGCTTTCTTGAAATGCAGGTAAAATATGTTTTAATGAACATGTAAATGCTTGTTTAATAACAACATGGCAGTAATACCACACAGAATTCTCTGGTAACAACAAAACACTAAATAGAACTCCTTTTAAGAATAAACTCAATTGCTTAAAATATTGCATATTATAGAATAGAATAGTGATGCTTAATTTATTTTGCAATTTATTTATTTTGGCAAAACTGATTCTAGTATGTTTTTCAAATTACATCAAAAATTGAAACACAAGTTGGCGATTTTTTTTCTAAAGAATGGTATGCATTAAGATTAAAAAATGAAAATTAATATAACTACACGAGTCACAGATCACAAATATGTAGATACACACATGAGTGTCAGTTTAACATGACTGATAATGACTGGTTACCTGGATGCTTGATGCTGATGGCTGGATGCAGATGATTAAGTCAGAAGCCGAGCCCTAAATAGCCTCTCTTTACCAACTAATGCAAGCAAGATGTATGGCTTACATCCCTGGGTTAGTGGACATTGAGCTGGGGGCCAGATTGCCCCGGTGTGAGGCAGTACTACAAAAAATGGTTATGTTTGGGTTTTTCTGAAGTTGATACAGCTGACTTGAGTAGAGAATAATCCCAGTAGGCTGAGATATGACAGCATAATAAACAACCTGATGGCAGAGGATAAACCGAGAGAGACCTGAGACAGTCCTTATCAAATCATAGCACAGCATGCTTAATAAAGATGGCCACTCGCATTGTTAGGGTGATGACACTGACTGGCTGTCTCCCAAAACAGCTCTCTTGCCATGATTCACCTACCACAGACCTGGACAATTATTTTCTGTGAAGGACCAAATTCAAGCTTCACCATGTGAGCAGGGACCTTTTTTTAACGATTATCTTCATGCCCATGAAAGCTACAACAGATTTTCTAGATTTTTTAACGTACATTTTTTTTTGTAAAAGATCAACATTCTGAATCAGTTTTTACTTTTTCAAAAGGATCCTTTTTGCATATCCGGATGGAAGTAACAATTGTAATTGCAACTGTAAATGGGACTTGAACATAAAACCTTACCTTTTTTCATTTTAATGATCATGTAGGTAAGTAAAAATAGCCCTGGCTGGCTTTTGCCCAGGTCTCACCTCACCCCGTAAACTACGAGATGGAGTATATATTTTTAGACTAGAATTGCTACATATTTTTTATATCCTAATTCTGAGTAGATATATTATTCCAAAAAAAGCAGAGCACTGTCTGACATGTTCTTTGTGCTCGAAGCAGCTGTTAGCACAAAACCACCTTGAGAAAAATGAGTGAAGGTATGGAAGGGAATAATGTTTGTGAATTTCAATTTAAGGCTTTAAGGATGGGAAGCATATTAATTAGTTAATTTCTAATCTTAATTTCTAGTCATAGATACATGCTTTCACATTTAATATTCCAATTATTATTATTATTATTCACAATAATAATAATAATTGATGCTACACTGTGCCATTTATTTCAGTGAAACATTTCTTGAGGACAGTGTTTTTATTTCTTGTTAATATTCTTAGTGATTCTGTTAAGGGATGATACTAGGGAGCTGTGAATGTGGGTATTTTAGGTCTAATTTTACAGTTCAAACACATCAAAATGTCTGCCGTGTGATAAGAAGTATTGCTGAGCCAGTTGTGCAAATGATTTAAATTGTCGGCTGTGAATGAAATGTCAATAGACAGGGTGGTGTTTATTCCCCATTGGGGAAATTTGTGATCATCTGCAATAAGAATATTCTTGCTGTGTCAAATCGACACTGATAATAAGATCATGTACAGTTCTGATCTATGATAAGTGTGATTTCTGGGCAAATATTATAGAAAATATCACAGAGGGGACAGCTTTGCCCAGACAGACATCTCGGTCCCTTCATCCCCCCATCTTCTGTACAGCAGAGAATGTTCTCTGTTTTTTCACCAAAACTACAAGGCTTAATCTGACTCTGAGAATCGCTGATGAAAGAGTTAAAATGAAGTACAAATTAAGAGATGAACTGAATACATCTGAGATGCTTTGCTGAAGAAAATGTCAAATGCGTATCTGACATTCCAGAAAGATCGGGGTATTGGTACGAGTTACACACAAAATTTCATGGTAATGTCCAATAAATTAGCAGCTGTCAATGGCCAGGATTTACCATCTAATATAAACATATGCACTATGCAGCAAATATTTCTTCCACCCATCCAAGGATACAAGAAAGAGTTTCATATTGGGGGGAGGGACACAATTAATGAATTATTTAAAAGCAAAGGTCTATTTCTTGGGAAGGATGAATGAAGCCACATTTAAAATATGGGGGGGGGAGCACATTCTCCCCACCCCACCCACCCCCCCCTACGTACTTGTGCAACCATGCATCCATCCGTTTATCCATTCTTCTTATCCTAGTCTGGGTCAGTCTACAGCCCATCACAGCTAACAAGTATTTCAATATCTAAAATTTCAGAAACGCATATAATACATAGAACAAGGAGACCAAAAGGAAAGGAAAGGAAGTCCATGATGAGAGTGTATCCAACTAGCAGAAGAAGCCTTCCACTCTGATAGAGCAGCATCAGTCACGCATGGAGTAGCCTGGCTATGTAATCCCACCTTTGAACACAGGAGGGCAGAAGTACTCCGAAGAGAGCAGTGGGTAGGTCGAAGGCACATAGTAGGTTGGCAATAAGAAGATTACCAAGTGTCATTCAAGTATGAAATGGAGAAAAACTGACGTTAAATACCCAAATGATTAAATAAGGAGAGTGCTGGAAAAACCTGTGCACACAAAACCCTCCAAGGGGTGTTTTTGACATACAGATTGTAACATATCTCGCCCCTGCACCTGAAGATTCCTAGCTGCAGCACTACCATTCAGAGGCAAGGATGAAGGCTGATAGGTGAGAGGACTGCAAGAAGAGAAGTCATGTGACCTTAATGGGAGGTAGAGGTGCAAAATCAATTGAAGGTGAGTCATAAAGCCCAAGGATCCTCTGAATAAAGCATAATATTTTACATGTATTATTTAAAACTGTAAGGTGAAGACACAAATTGCAGTCTATACTTACACACAGTGAATAATTTATGCAAATAATTGCTATAATACACTGTATTCTAAGTGACTAAATGAAGGCAGAATAATGGCTGAAATGTGTTTCCCCTTTCAAGAGCTTCTATGTATTTCAGAAACAAATATCTGGGTACAACAACTACCTATTTTTATGAGAAACTATAAATACTTGTAAACATACAGTGTAAAAATTGAACAATATCTATCATTTACCACAGAACATGCAAGTTGGTCATTTCTGAAGGCTACATACTATTGTAAGTTGTAACCATGCAGCAAATTGTAGATCACAGACAAATCCTATACACACACACACATATGTATGATTACTCATTAATATCGGAAACTTTACAAGAAATAACATCAACTTACTTAGCTGCATTTTTGCAAACAAATGTTGCCATTAATCAGTAATTACCCTTAAATTGACAAGCTTATGCTTGACGACCATCATTATGATGCAAAAGAAGAATTCATTAAATAGGCAAGAGGCAGTTCTTGAGTTCTTGCCAGTACAGGCTTTTCATAACAGTCATAACATAATCAATCAGATAACACCTTGTGAATATCAGTAAAAATTACTTAATACCTGTGATTATTGTTGACCATGACAGTTAAACTATAATTGCAACAACACTGATTATGTCTTCTTTTTAACATACATTTTTAATATATCTTATGACAGTCAGAGTCACGGGGGGGGGGGGGAGTTTATCCTGGCCATAGGGCATAAAGCAGGGATACACCCAGAATGGGATTCCAGTCCACTGCAGAGCACATAGTCACACACTCACTCATACTATATGGGCAATTTAGAGGCACTAGTTAGCCTAACAGCATGTCCTTGGAATGAGGCATGAAACCTGAATACCTCAAAGAAACCCACACGACCGGGAGAACCTGCAAACGCCACCCTCACAGACAGCATTCAAATCCCCAGCCCTGGAGGGACGGGTAAAGTGCACTATCCACTGAGCCACCCACGTGACAGAGAGAACCTGCAAACGCCACCCTCACAGACAGCATGCAGATCCCCAGCCCCGGAGGGACGGGTAAAGTGCACTACCCACTGAGCCACCCA